ATCTTCATATATAAAATGTTTTAATTTTGTCATGCTTCTTAATATATTTATTTAGATATTGTGGTAAATATGTCAGTTGCTGAAAAGAAGACCTCTCACTTAAACTAGTATAAATCTGGAATAATTCCACTTAATTCCTTGAAGGATATGGCCAACAGGTTTCAGGGCCGGAGTCTACAAAGGATTATTTTACTTTAGATCTATTAACTTCAATGGCATTAAACTGAGTTATAGAAATAGAGGATTTGACCACTCTATAGCATTTCTAGGCTCTCTAGATCAGGAACCTTTTTTGGGTTAGAAGGCAACCACCCACAGAAAAATCAGACGGGGGCCACACACAAGTGAGAAGAAAAACAAAACAAAACAAAATCCCAACTAAAGTTGAGATAAAGTTACCCCTGACTGAGAAGGAGAAAGGCACTCCCCACATTCCTCTCGCACACCAGAGCCTAGGGGTCCCGGCTTAGTAGATTTTGTGTGCTCCAGTCACGCAGTGGGATAGCAGGGGTGCTGGAGCACTGGTGTGGGCTCCCCAGTGCTGGGGGGGGAGGAGGCATGAGCCTTGGGGGCGGGATCCAGGCAAGCTGAATGCAACCCCTGGGCCTGAGTTCCCCACCCCTGTTCTAGATGCATAAAATAAGCAAAATTATTACAATACCAAGATGAAAGCAATGGAAAAATGAACAAATATAGATGCAACTCCTGATTATTTCTGGTTCTGGTTCTGCTACTTCCCTACTGGATGACCCATGGAAAGTCACTTCCCCTCTTTGTAATGCAGTTTCATGGTCTGCCAAAATGGGGATAATGACACCAACCTTCTTTATACAGCACTTTGAGAGCTACTAAAAAAAGTGCTATATGGAAGCTCATTATTAGTATTTAGTTGAGTGGTCTTGCTAAAAGTAATGTGGCTGGTATTGTGAGAAATGGCAAGTAGGATTTAGCCAAATATTAGTTCTTTTTTCAGAAATCCTTGTGACAATATTTGAAAGCATAGGAAAAACTGGAGGCCAGATTCTTAGCTGATGTAAATGGCAAAGATGCAATGAGTGGATTTAAGTATTGCTCATAGATGTAACTTTCTTAGGTTTCTCTACAGCAGTTCAGTTACATTTTATATTTACTTAAAAATTTAAGTGTAATGGTCTTAAACCATATATTTATACATGAGTCAAACACAGGATGATGTAGATATTGCTACAAATAAACTATGGAAAAGCATCTTGTTTTTATGTGTAGTTCTGTGGATTGTGCTGGCACTGTAATTAACATAATCCTAAGAGATAAATTGTTTATTGCATCACTCTTTTTTCTTTCTGTAGGTACGTGAAATTTTAAAGCGTACATCTTGCACAAAAGCCAAAAACAGTATGGGTAAGAGAAAATTAATAATATTGTACGTATGTTGTTTTGAAAGTGACTGTTTTCAAACATTTCTTCAACATTTTATCAAAAATAATCAAAACATTTATCTAACGGCATCTAAAAATATATTAGTGCATTTTCACATGAACTAAAGATGGAAATGAAATATATTTTCTTAACGACAAAATCAGCCCCAGGGATATAGTACTGTACCTTTTTCTGAAGAACAACCTAGAATTAGAAAGTAAATGATCATCTTTTGAACAATTTCTTTTAAAGACTCTTTAGCTGATTAAAAAATATTCAAGCTTTTAAATGAGCTATGTTCATTTACGTTGTGAACATAAATCTATTCACTTGGTGCTAGCTGGCAAAAGGTTTACAAGAATATTTAGTAGTTCTTGGTCTGATCTTGAGAATTGTGCTGACAAAAGTCAGAGACAAAGGTCTCACTGTAAATGTGTCAAAATGTAAAATAGAAGCTGCCAAAATTCCATATTTAGGACACTAGGTAGGGGATAGCCAAATTTCTCCTGATTTCTTAAAAGTGGGAGCTATTATTAATTGGATTATGCTCCCCACCACTAAAAACCAACTCCAGACTTTCATAGGTTTGGTTGACTATTACAGCTGATTCATACACGTTATTGTATCTCATATCACAAACTTTTGAAAAAAAATCCAAAGCCATGTGTAGTAGTGGGGACAAAATTTTTGATGAGGTTCCTGACTTAATCTACAAAAAAGATACATGCATAAAATGGGATAAACATATTCAGTAAATAGCAATCTTTCCAATGTTATGTTACACAAGGCATCTGAATTAAGCATATCTGAGTTATGCATATCATAAACATATTTTCATAAAGCATATGGAATATTACATAATAGGGTGCATCTACACAGCAGTTATTTTGAAAAAGAGCACTCTTCCTCCAACTTCCCTTTCTCCTCGTACAATGAGGGTTGCAGGAATCAGAGTAAGAAGTCCTCCAGCTTGACAGTATTTTGACATTATTGCAAAATAACTGCATGTTGTGTAGATGCAAACTAAATTATTTTGAAATAATGTTGCTGTGTAGATGTACCCACAGCGGCCAGTTTAGATCTTGACAAAATATTTGAAGTGTGTACTGATACAGTGTGTACTGTGTATTACTGAAAACAGGGGACAGTAATGCAGATCATCCCATTGCTTTGTTGAGTAAAAAACTAACACCCATTGACTGGAAATTTTCTGTCATAGAAAAAAGAATGTTTTGATAGTTTATGGGCAATCACAGAGTTGAGGCCCTACTATTTTTTACATCAAACCGAATATACCAGCTCCAGATTGCTGCACTGGAGCATTCTCTTCAAGAGTGTGACATGGAAAGAGTATGTCGTAGAAGAGAAAATATCCAACATTGGCAGACACAAAGTCCAGGCAAGAAGGTTATGACTTGGAGCCTATGGATCAGCCAGTGGGTAATCCTATTGCATCATTCTAAGGGGGAGGTATAACCCAAGAAGTCATCAGTGTCAACTGAGAAGGGAGATACAAGAATACTCTGATTCTTGTAGGTACATTCTGGTTCAATATCATATGGGGTCTTAAACAAAAGCCAGGCTGATATTGGTCATTTAGTAGCATTGTGAAATTATGTATAGGGATTTTAGGAGTTTTAGGAGTATGGTGAAAATATGTTCCTAAAGTCTATATCAAAGCAGAGTTGACATACCGGTTTTATGCTAGATAAAAGAGTGATTTAGCTATCATATGTAAATTAAGCACTGTAAGCCAACACAATGGAAATCCATTTCAGGATGAAGTTGTGAAAAAAAAGATGCAAAATTAACAGGGAAGAAGCAAGATTTAGAGGGGCGGATATGGGGGAGGAGAATCATTATGGGGTGAGGAAAGAGAAGGTGAGTTACTGCTTACATTCATGAAAAATGGGATCTCAGCCACGTGGAGTTGAAATGCTGCAAATAATATTTGGGGCAAGATATATTTATTTAGACAGAGAGTTAGCCTGCTAAGTTTATGATCTAGAAATCATGTTACAAATGTGTCTTATATGTAACCCGTTATTTCCCTTATCTTCTCTCACTTTCTCTTCCATTCTGAATGTTTGATAAAAGAAGTTGTTTTCACTATAATAAAACTTAGAGCTGTTGTTAGGAGTAGATCCTAAGTTGAATCATTAAGCTGGTATGTACACTGTTCCTTTGGGGTCAGTAGATCTGTTATTTCCCTGAGTGGTCTGTAGATCAGATTCTGGAACTACAGGGAATACTCTAAAGGGGAAAGGCTTACACTTAAGTTTAACCTGCATGGCAAAGTAAGCGCTGGCATAATCCAGAGGAGTTTGCTTGGGTGGCTCATAGGGAGATGGTGTCAGGGAACTGACATCCAGTGAAGCACCTGTAAATCTCCCTTTCATTGGAAGAAGGGGGATAACCTCTCGTCCTAGGTACCCCAAAGACCATTACATCTCTTTGTAGGAGAAATGACTGGACTGTAGTCATAAATGTGTCTAAATTATTCCCCATGCAGCTTCTTTGAACTCCATGGAGTTGTATGATGTGTGGGCAGCAAAAAGCTTTATCCATGGAGTGGGCTACTTTAAATTGAGGCTAGTTTTTAAAATAAATATTTCACACAATAAAGAATAAGCTCTGACTTTCCTTTCATACTGGTTTTACACCAAAGTGACTCTATTAACTACCATGACGTTAGTCAAGTTACTCATTTTTATAGTCCATGGAAGTGGATTAATCTTAATCACCAAAAGGCATCTGGTGCAGAATAAGAGAACTCAGATGTAGTTATTATAGAATTGCTAATTTAAAATCACACCATAATTTTAGACAACCACAAAGTATCTATTTATTTTATGGACTGGGTAGCACATTGGGTTAGAATAGTGTCTTTTATCTCTGGAGTCCTACGTCCACATTTTATCTTTGGTCACAAGTCATAATGACTCTGATTCATGTATCCCACCTCACAAAATACATGACACAGTTAATCAGTATTCATAGTCTCTGCTCAAGAGAGATCACAGACTACAATGGAAAAAGAGATGCCAGTTGAGATTAGAGTTGAATCAATGGCTGATTTTTCAAATTGGTTACTGAACCACAAAATTGGGATTGACCCTAAATGGATTTTACCCATTTGTCTTGCCAAAATTAAGCTCCTCTATTTGTCTTGCCCCTCCAAAAATTTGGATTAAACAGAGCAATTTGTTTAACCAGATGAGTTCAACCAGAATTTTTTTTCTGTAGTTTTGTTTTGTTTTGTTCCTGGGTTCTTTTTCTACTTAAAAAATAAATTAGCTAAATTTAAAAACATAATATTATTTGAAATAAAAAGTAAAAACATTTCATTTAGAAAATGGCAGGATGAAATGTTTTCACTTTTGAAACGGATATTTTTTCTAGCTAAAACTAGCCACCCAATTTAACCGGACTTTTCAAATCGTGTTGGTGACCCAAAACTGCATTTTTTCAGTTAATAAACTAGTATGTCCAAAAATTTTCACCCATGTCTAATTAGGATGGAGAATTCTGGTTGGTTTTCCTCCACTTTGGCTGGGTTGAATGAGATGAAGACATAAAGCTGGATGTCAATAGCAGACTGAGGACATTTCAGGACATATCTTGAAAGTCTCCATGCTGTGTTTAACAAGAGGACAGAAAGATGGAACCTTACAGTATCCTATATGAATGCGCTCTCTGTGAGCCATGCAAGACAGAAAGATGGAACCTTACAGTATCCTATATGAATGTGCTCTCTGTGAGCCATGCAAGAGTACACGTTGAACCTATGTGGTCTGGGGCTCTCTAGTCCGGCAACTAGAGAGCCCCAGAAGCAGAGGTTGCTAGTGGCCAGTGGGGCCAGGGAGCCTGCAGGGTACCAGAGCTCACTGCTGATGGGGCAGGAAAGCCAGCAGAGGGGCCAGATCTTGCAAGGCAGCAGAGCCTGCAGATGACAGGGCTCTCAGGAGCTCTGCTGCAGATTGATGGAGCTACCACAAGACATGGGGGGCCACCAGGAGCCACAGGGGGGCTGCTGTAGCTTGCTCGGCCAGGAGGCTGGAGAGAGTGAGAAGGCTGGTGCCCCCTTGCTCCAGACCTGCTCTGGTTTGGAAAACTCCCTTGTCCAGACCGGTTAGGCCCTGAATGTGCTGGACCAGGGAGGTGCAACCTATAGCTCTATCCAGCCCCATTTTGGTCCACATACAAATTAATAATCACTCAGCCTCAATGGTATCTCAGGCAGCTGATAGATGTATCAAAATTGTATTGCGTACCTGATCCTTATCCTTTGCCAGTAAAAGACCATCTACCAGTGCAGTCCGCACACCCTTTGTTTTATAGCCAGGTTGGTAACCAGACTGACAAGGGCCAAGGAGCAACCACACATTATGAAAATTGACATAAAAGCTTTTTCAATTATCTTAACTAAGAATGGAAGATGATGAGATACCAGGCAATAACTGCAGATACCTCATGTGATGGCTTCATGGGCAGCATGCATTGAAGAGGTTCTAAACCTAAGAAGCATGGCAATATTGTAGTGTATTGAACACACTGAATGGTCGAACACTGGAATCACTGCAACTTGTGCCAAAGTCCACCTTCAATAAGTTAGCTTTTGTCTTAAAGAGCCACCTTAGGAAGATACCCAAGATTTTTAATAAAACTGTATTAACCTTTTATGAAAAGCTAACTACTAGCAATGACAACGGACACCTTTGGCCTGGTCTACAGTAGGGAATAAGTTTGAATTAAGACATGGAACTTCAGCTATGTCAATTGCGTGGCTTAAGTTGAAGTAACTCAAATTTTGGTGCTGTCCACGCTGCAGGAAGTCAAAGAGCGCATATTCTCCCTTTGACTTCCCTTACTGTCATGGAAGCAGGACCACCAGTGATGATGAGAGCATCTTCTCAATTCAAATTAGCATGTCTTCACTAGACCCACTGATTCAAACCCCGCAAGATTGACTGCGGCTGCTTCAGTCTTATCTGTACTGTAGACATGGCCTTAGAGACTAACAGATTTATTTGGGCATAAGCTTTTGATAAGCCACTTCATCAGATGGTTTTACCCATGAAAGCTTATGCTTAAATAAATCTGTTAGTCTCCAAGGTGTCATAGGACTTCATGTTGCTTTTGTAGATTCAGGCTAACATGGCTACCCCTCTGAGACTTATTAGCAATGAATTTTTGTCAGGGCAGTGACATACCTGCATACTACTTAGACTAATGAGTAGCTGTGTTACCCCTACTCTCTAACCTGGGGTGCCCTTTACAATACTTTGCTTCTACAGTTCTGTTCACAAACAGCCTGCAGCATGCATGTCACTACCAGGTATGTCTGGTACTCTGTGTTCCCACTAAGCTTCCCAGCAGGACGGCCACTCAGGAATGATTCAAACATTGCACACTTCATTAGTAGACCCGCACACATCTGGCAGCATTTGTTCATGCACCTCCACCCCAACGATTTTGCAGCCATGTTACTCCTGCCTTTTGCCTTGGAGCCAGCAGCTCCTGGGACCCTCCTATCGGCTGTGCAGCTTAAACATACAGGCTGTGTCTACATTGGCAAGATTTTGCACAAAAGCATCTGCTTTTGTGAAAAATCTCGCCACCTGTCTACATTGGCCACGAGTATTTGCGCAAGAACACTGATGTAATGTACAAAATCAGTGCTTTTTGTGCAAATACTCTGACACTCCCGCTCAGGGATAAGTCCTCTTGCGTAACTGTTCTTGTGCAAGAGGCCAATGTAGACAGGTAACATCAATTTCTTGTGCAAGAAATCCCGATGGCTAAAATGGCCATCGGAGCTTTCTTGTGCAAGAGAGCGTCTACACTGGCATGGATGCTTTTGCGCAAAAGCACATCTTTTGTGCAAAGGCACATGCCAGTATAGATGCTCTCTTGCGCAAATACTTTTAACGGAAAAACTTTTCCATTAAAAGTATTTGTACAAAATCATGCCAGTGTAGACGCAGCTACAGGGTTAGACAAAACAGTTAAACAGGTTTATGAACCACAGGGAGAGCCATTTTAAGTGAGTGTGATAATGAGGTATAAAAGTCAGAAATGGTTACATGAAAATAAAGTTTAACTGCTACTGGTGCCTAACTTAACTAAGTATACTGGATTCAAGTAAAGTTTCTCACCATATGTTTTCAGCAGCCTTACTGACCAAACCCCCTACATGACAATCTCATCTCCCAAAATTCAATGAAGGCTTCCTTTCTTGTTTTAAGTGGTGTGTGTGTCTGTGTGTTTGTCTGTGTGTTGGCGTGTTTGCCCTTAATGTTTGCAGTTTTAGTCCCCCGTTGGGGGGGGGGGAAGCATTTCCAGCTGGCTATTAAGAGTCATAAAAATCTCTGTGGAAAGACTTTCCTGCTGCTTTTTTTCCTTGCTTGTTTGAGCTTCATTTGTCTCCCCTTCCTGATTGACAACTGTTTAATCCTGAAATTCAAGTTAAGCGGAACATAAATTCCTTTGTTTAAGACAGACCAAACTCAGTCTGGAACATGTGGTGTTAACACCACAAAACGGACTCTTATAACTTCACAAACAGTGTTGCCACATATTTTATCAGGACTATATCGAGCAGGAAATAATGAGTTTTCAAATGATACCTCACAAGGCATACTTTGTACAAATATCATTACAATAGTGTTCAGGATGTAGGCATGGGTACACTCTGTCACAAGGGCTTTCTGTGGTGGTTTAAGACAGATGAAGACGGAATGGAAGGCTCATTTGCTGCTCATTATTGCATGCTGTGTCTGAATGGTACGTGGCCCTCATAGACAGGTTTTACCTTTACTTCTGTGTTCCATAGCAATGATTACAGATAATACAAGTTTATTAGAGCTCAGTTTCCACTGATTTGTAGCTATGAACATTGATTTGTAGCTATGAACTTCTCCTAAGGGGCTATCTCCCATGATTGTTGTTTGGAAGCTCAGAAATTCAGTAGCTACCATTTCAACATTAATTGATTCCTGGGTTTAATGATGGTCTCAAGAGCACCATAGATTTAGTGGCTCACTGAGTTCCTTAAACATCCTTATTTTGTTCAGCTTTTTATGGTTCTATTCCTTCTCTCCTGACAGATAAGGCAATAGCAAGAGGGACCCAATAGCAGCATATTATATTATAAATATTGGGCAACAGTATACTAATACACTAAGCGCAACTGGCCCAGTTTACTGTTCAGTTCTACAGTTGTACAAAATCATGTCCTCTGATAGCCCAGCTGGTGCATACTGTAGTTCAATAAAATGTTGAAGGAAATACATTCTTCTAACTTAATATTTTTGCAAGCCTTTTAACATTTAAAAATTAGGTATTCCTTGTAGTGGACTTGCCTGTTCCAAGTTTGGGGATTTAAAAATCATTCCATTTCCCAGTAATATCATTGTTTGGAGGGAGGGTGGGGAGGATTGATGCATTAATAATACTTGATTAATTCAAAAAATGGATAGCAGAATGGGGCTGAAACTTTCCAGAGTGCTTCTCATTTGGCCATTAGAGATTTGACAGCCCCAAAGACTACCTTTTGTAGACATTTCCTCAGTTACAGAAGAAAAATAAGGCTGTGAACTGGATTAAGTCTTAACCTTACCTGTAGTATCACATAATGATATTTCTGGTAGAGTTGTCACAGAGCCTCTGCTCAAATTAAAGGATGAAGGCCATTAGTGCAAAGACATCAGTGGATTCATATACTTCTACATGTGGTCTAGATGGGGCAGAGAACCATTGGTTATAACTGAGCTCTCACGTACCTGCTCTTTAGAGCTTCTTGCCATTTTTTTCCCATCTAATTTCCCACCTGACATCTGTGTGGTCAGTGAAAGTAAACAGATTCTCTGCTGGTGCAATTCATCTGCACAACTATGGATCTGGAGAACACAGGCCAAACTATTTCCTTCTGTGGGCAGAGTTTTAAATCAAGACAGCTATCTTTGCATTGTTATGGAAAAGGAAGTTGTGGAAGCCCCTGCATTTGGTACAATTAAACTAGTTCTGACCAAAGGTTAGAAAGATTGTTCTCTTGTGTACATTTACTACAACAGGGAGTCAAATTAGGTGTTCTAATTTGCCGCCTTCATCACTGGATTCTATGAAAGAAAGTTTGCTAATCTTCTATGTTTTAATGGGGCTACCTTCCTTTGTTTGCTAGAGCATTGCAGAAGATGACACCTCGACATTGATTTTTGGGGTGGAGTAAATCTTCGTTCCTCTCATGGCACCATTCTTTTCTTTAGCTACATATTGGTTTAATGTTTGCCATTGGCCTCTATTTTCTTATTTAAAAAGAGACAGAGGTAACTGGCAAGAAAGCAAGCAAGCAAGCAGGGGTGTGTGTGTGGGGGGAGACAGGGAATACTCTTTTTGGCCATAGTAACAAACCACCTTACTGGGAGAAAACAGCATGGGGATGAGGCCATTTTAAAATTGCCCCCTACTAACAAAAAGGTTTTTTTCCACTGCTAAATTAAAATTGATTTTCAGGGCATCACTCTAATTTCTAAATTGGGCTCATATTCAACTTTAGATTAGTCATTGGATGATTTTCAGTAATATATCTCAGTTCCTCTCATAGTTGAATAAAAAGTTAATATTTTGTAATAATCTCTTGCTATCTGCATTAATTATTTTGTTTTGTTTCTCTTTAGGTATTACTACATTAATAGCAAACAATGTCTATGAGGCAGCATTTCCTCTTCACGATGTATGTATACACAATTTAAAATGTAAAACATATCATTCTAACAGCAGTATTAAATGCTACTTAGACACTAATAATTATGTCTGTGAGAATACAAAATATCTACTAATATATTTATAGATTATCATAATAATATAAAGTCTTAAATGAAATATATTCTGGCTATAACTGAACAGCAAAACAGCTGAGCAAAAGTATTTTTCTTTTATTACATTGTTTCTGTTTATATAGCACTTATCATTTTCATTTGTTTCTGTAGGGTGAATATGAAGGTCAAAATGATGACATGAATGAAAGAAAGGTAAAATACTTTACATCATAAATACATTTTTGTGTTGTATTTGCATATGCTGAACTAGAACTGCATGAATATTCCAAGGAAGTAGATACAAATGTTCATTTGAATAAAAATGTTTTCAGATTCATTTCATTGGTACCTATGAACCTTTTTATTTATATTTCTTGAACTTTCTTTCACATAGTTGATGGTTTATTTGCAAAAATGTCCACAGAAATTTTGGCAATGTTTGGATGAATTCAGTTCCATGTGGCCATCTTGAAATTCCTTTAAATTCCCTCTTCCTGTTTAACATAGTTCCGGTCAGCCAATCAGGAAGCAAAAATATAGACATGTGACATAGATAATGAATACCACACCACAAACAGATGATGATTATATAGATGAATAATCAAACTGATAGTGTTTAACTTTTGTATAAACTCAGAATAACAAGAAAATTTGTAAAATATAAAATTGGTTTACAGAGAATTTGGATACAATTATTCCCATTTGTGCATTCAAGTCTATCTTCTTCTACACATAAGAAACTGATAACCGTAAGAAACGGAACCTACTCATATTATTGTTTTAAATATAGGTGCTAGCTATTACAATTGAGCTAAACATTGGAATATTAGAATCAGTTAAGTTCCATTTTATATTTGTGTGTGCTCACTCCCTACCCCTCCTTGAATGTTTGTGTCAAAGCAGTTTTTCTAATAAGAAAAGGAATAGGAAATGGGGAGAGACAAAGTACCCTTAATAATAAAAAGCCTAAAATGCAACTAGATTCCTAACACACTGAATACATATTCTTTGTTACTAACACAGAATTTCATAAATATTTTACCTGGTGATTTTTCATACTGTTGTGTGTGACTTCTGATGCACGAAGGAAGAATTGAAAATACCATTCATTTCCCAACCTCCTTAGCAATGTTCCCATAGCATTCAGAAGTTTAGTTACCAACTAATCCACATCATGTGATTATGAATGGATTTGAAAATAAGCTTGAGCACAATTTTTCAGTCTATTATCCCTAGGCCCTCAAGACAGTGGCATGGAAGAGTTGAAAAACTTGATTTTTCTGGGCCACTGTTGGTAATGATAGTAGTCAGCCACTAGGTGGCTCTGTTCTGCATACAGTATTTTATTTAGGGTATGGTCTTTCCTTGGTGAAGAAAGGAGACAAAGTTGGGAGTCAAACCAATGTAGAAACCTGTTTGTTTGTCTTTCTAATTTACAGCTCTCTTGTATAACCACCTCTTGATCTAGTAGATCTGTGTTTCTCTATATCATGATGTTGTCTACACTGCGCTTACAGTCACTTCGTCTGGTTAAATGGAGTGTCACTACTATCAGCTCTCAAGGCAGTTGCAGAGTTTACCCTCTTAAAAACTAGACAAATCTTCCAGCTACAGGAAGAATTCTAAAATAGCAGTTAGGCAATGAGGACAAATTGGATAATGTGGCGAAGGGGAAAAGAGGATCTAAAATATAAAGGTCTGCAAAAACAGTCATCCATTAAGTTGTATTTTGTACTGCTTTCTTTTTATCCTGCCTATTAGGTCCTGTTATGAAGTGTTAAGCATTAAAAACATAAAAAAGTTCTTTCCAGAAATACTACATTGATTATTCACATATGGCTCTGCTGTGCAGCCATAGAATCTGCTGTAGTATTTCTATGTATAACATCATCTGTTTTCTATCTGAAGCTAATAGTCTCAGTGTTTAATTTCCTGAAAAGCACTGATCAGGTTTAAAGGAAGGGGGACATTTTTTTGGCTATTTTCTGCTCCTTTTTCTTTTGTCCCCTTTAAGTTATATGCATCTTCTATTTTATTGCCTGTAGAATAACCTCAAATAATGGTGAACTGAGCCTGTCTGGGGTATTTTTCCTCATAAGGAAGTCATAGTAATTAAGATTGATGTAGCAGCTCATAAAGTAAAAAGTTAATCCTAATTAACCCTCTTCAAGATCTTTATGGGGAAAATGCCCCGTGAAACAATGCATTTGTGATTGGCTGTTGAGAACCAGAAAAATTCATTTGGTGCAACACACATTCTGCCTATGACTACTCGTAAGAGCAAAGGAATTTCCCTCTTCCAGTGAGATGCCTGATAAAGAAGAATGCTATGTGTAAAGAAACTACTGCACAGCAGCATTGTAGTTGCTTACCTTAAGGGGAAGGATCAGTGGTCTGATCTTTTTTAAGCCCCTACCCACTATTATCAGTTGCCTCTTCACTGCTAGTACTATGCTTTATGCTAAAAAATGTCACCACCCATTTACAAGGAGTTGCAAAGTTTATGTGGAAATTAAACAGGCAGCCAGCTAACGTAACACGCATAGGATAATATATATGGTTGAAATGCATTGTGATCTTCCTATGTAAAGTACCACTGTTAATGGAAGCCATGGAAATATAGGTAAAATGTGATGTTACAAAGCTCTATGGGAACACCAATTATTTTTGTACGGTCATCCAAAAGTATTTCAGATTAAACTGTGTTTTGTGAATTTCAGTTTTAACAATTTTATCTGACTTGGCAGGAACAGTCCTTCAACTTCATAGCCTTTAAGAGCTTCATAATAATCTGAGTTCTTGGCATAATTGTGGTTGAATTGGATCATAGATTTTTATTAGAAATACATCCATTATTTGTTTACATTTTAAATGTATTTATCTGTCGCAGCATTTAAGTACCATTTGGATTTGATTTAGGGTTCCTCTGACTCTTTCAGTGGATGTGCTTATAAAGTTGGATAGTTTACAAAATCAATGAACTTTTCAATGAATATTGTGGGATGTTCACCAGGAGTGGATATTAAATTGGGAATGCAAGTTTTCAGGTTGAAAAAATGAATATGGAATCAGTAGTGTAAGATGCTGATGATTTTGAGTACAAACCCACTGAAGCCAATGAGAATTGATAGAAGAGCTGGGGAAATAACTGGTTTATCCATTTTTTGGCAATTTTGAAAATTGGGAAAAATAATTTGGGGTTGGAGGAAAACCATTTTTTAAAAATATTTGGAAGTTGGAAAAGTCCAAAAAAATGTTCTCTGTCTTATTCTCTATTCTTTTTTAATGCTTCCTAACATTCCACTTGCTTTTTTGCCTGCTGTGGCACACTGTGTGGATGTTTTCAGAGAACTATTCACAATGACTCCAAGATCTCTCTCTTGAGTGGTGGTAATAGCTAATTTAGTCCTCGTCATTTTGTACATATAATTGGAATTCTGCTTCCCAATGTGCAGGGCTCGACAAATTCTGGAAAACCCTACTCGCCAGACAAAAAAGGGACTCGCCACCCTCCCCCCAAAAAAGTGTTTTTTTAATAGTATAAATTCCTAATAAGAATAAGAACAGTAATTACTAATAAGTTATTAATAAATATCACCTAAGTTATTAATAAATATCTTATAAACCTCTACCTTTTCCCTCTGCTGCCATGTCTCTTCCCCTTGCTCCATCATCTCCCCTGGTGCCTGCTGCCCCCCAACCACTCACCCTCCCCTGCTGTCCTGACTCCTGCCCTTCTCACTGCCCTCAGCTTTCCTGAGACCTGCCCCCCTGTACCAGCCCTTCTCTCCCTCCTGTGCCCACTCCTCCAATAGCCCCACTCTGATCATGTGAGCTACCCCTCCTCATCCCCTCTCCTAACACCTCCCTCTACACACCTGCCCTGCCTCTCTCCTCTGGTGCTGGTCCCTCCCCTGCAGGTGTCTGCCCTTCTGCTTTACCCCCTGCATCCTCCTGGTGCCTCCCCCTTCCCTCACTGCCCCTGCCCCCGTTGCTCTCTTTTTCCTTGATGCCCACCCTCTCACCACCCTCTGCCCCCCATAACCCTGTGCCCTCACACACGACTTGCTCCATCCCCGCCTTCCTCATGCCCACCCCTTCTTTCAAGCCTTCTCCCAGCACCTCCCCCTTCCCCCTCTAGCCCCTAGTGCCCTTACTGTCTCCTCTCCCAGCATCACCCTGTCTCCCCTACCATTGACACCTCTCTTCCAGCCCCTTCCCCTCCCCCAGGGCCAGCTCTAGGTCTTTTGCTGCCCCAAGCAAAACATTTTTGGCCGCCTCCCCCCCTTTTTCTTGTCTTTTACACGTTTGCATTTTGCAATTTTTTTTGTTTTGTTTTCATTTTTGTCCCGGCATTTTAGCCCTATAAATAACTTATAGCATTTTCATTTGTTTTTTTCCATAAAGGCAAAGGTGCTTCAAGTGAACTCCACCTTTCACTCGCTGCTGGATCACAGCAGCCTTTTCCCTGCCCTGTCCAGCTCCTCCCTATGGACAAGCACCCCATCACTCCTGACCCACAGGGGAAACGGTGCAGGGACAGCACAGAGCCAGAGGGGTGCAGGGAACAGTGTGGGGGAGTACAGGGGTGGTGCAGGGAATGGGAGGCACAGAGTCAGAGGGACGCAAAGTGCGGGGTGCGATGGAGGCATGGGGAATGGGACGCGGGGAACAGGAGGGGCAGAGGGATCGGGGTCTAGGGGCAGTGCATGGAATGGGCAGCACAGAGCTGGGGGGAAGAGATCGGAGGGGAGCAGGGTGCAAGGGTGGTGCAGAGCCAGACAGTCGCAGGGAAGAGGGAAAGCAGGGGATCCGAGGTACAGGGGAGCAGGGGACCCACAGGAGGAGCAGGGTGCAGGGACAGCGCAGAGCCAGAGAGGCATGGGGAACAGGGGGAGAAGGGTCCACCATGGAGAATGGGAGGCGCAGACCCAAAGGAGCACAGGGACCGGGGGTAGCAGGTGGACTGGGGTGCTGGTGTGCGCAGAGGCAGAGGGGTGTGGGGGGGTACAAGGGTGATGCAGGAAACAGGAGGCACAGAGCCAGAGGGATGCAGGGAGTGGGGGGGAGCAGGGTGCAGGGGAGGCACAGGGAATGGGACGTGGGGAACAGGAGGGGCAGAGGGATCGGGGTCTAGGGGCAGTGCAGGGAATGGGCAGCACAGAGCTGGGGGGGCAGGGATCGGGGGGAGCAGGGTGCAAGGGCGGCGCAGAGCCAAAGGGTCGCAGGGAAGAGGGAGAGCAGGGGATCTGGGGTGCAGGAGCGGCGTGGGGAACTGGCGGCGCGGAGACAAAGGGGGGCTGGGGCCAGCAGGCCAGCTCCAAGAAACACACAACCAGAGCCGAGCTGCCACGGCCTTTTAAAATCAGTGGGGCCATGTCCCGCCACCCTGGCATCCCGCCCCGCCTCCTTACGCC